TGCTGGCCAGAGCAACAAATGTATATGAACACTGGCCAAACTAACAAATATGTATATCTGCTGGCCAGGCCAATAAATGTATATAAACTCTGGCCAGACCAACAAATGTATATGAACACTGGCCAAACTAACAAACATAACATATCTGCTGGCCAGACCAATGGATGTACATAAACTCTGGCCCAGCCAATGAATGTATATAAACTCTGGCCAAGTCAATGAATGTACATAAACTCTGGCCAGACTGACAAATATATTTCAAATGTTGGCCAGGTCAATAGGTGCATGTGAGCTACTGGTCAGACATATGTATATGCTGGCTAAACATTTAAATGCCAATTAGTTTGATATATACACTTTCAAGCTAATACATGTATGTAAATGCTAACTAAGCTTAGCAAGTGTATACAAATATTGGCCTGGCTAAAATACATATTTAAATGCCTGTCAGAACCAGCTCATTTACATAGGCATTAGCCTAGCTAACAGATATATATAAATGCTGGCCAGGCTTACAAATTAAACATCTGGCCAGCATTTGGATAACTCATTCTAGTTGTAACATTGTCATATTGACTTGCTCCATATGCAGTGAAACATTTGTAACTGAACTGTGTGTCTTGTTGGCCACTGAATATTGTCATTTGACAGTATTTACATGTGAAAGTGCTCTCCAGAGTGCATTTTACTCTTTTCACAGTGCTTGCAGATTTTTCATCACACAACCCACATTTTAACCACCAACCCCCGTCCAAAAGAAGAGTAGAATGTAACGGAGTAGACTAACTTCCATATAGGAGGCGTCTAAGTCACGTGACCTAGATAGGCGCCACTGGGCGCCTTGAAAGCCGGCGTCTGTTGGTGCATCAATGATGCGCTGATGGCGGCAGGCGGTGATGGCGGATCATTTCGCCCCACGACTGTCAGCTTTTGTCGGGTGATGCGCCTCACGGCGCATCACGGCGGTCACCGATGTTCTAGATCCATCACGTGGCATGACGTCATAAAAAGATGGCATCACCGGCTAACTGACTAGCCGGTATGTCGGATCAATACGGTCTTGCGGTAATCCCTATATGGTATGCCCGAGTCTTCTAACTCCACAGCCGATGCTTCTTCGCTGAGACCGAGGTCTCGTGCGCGGGCAAAGAAGCCCAACGGCCAATTGCATTATTTTCTTGCTTCCGTGTCCCTCTGGGGCCACGTCAGCGGGTGGCTGGTGTCCCGGTAACCAGGGTCCAGCCAGCAAGGTATAAGTACTTCCGGTAGAACGCTGATGAGTGTCAACGAAAGTCTCCTGTGCAGTTCACCACTGCGAGGACCTCCGACCTACCTGACACACACAACACGTCGCTCGGTCTCGCTCCCCCCATCCTAACCTAGATCAGAGCAAGGATGATAAACAGAGAAACAGAGTGGGGTGCTGCATGGTGGACAAAGATGTAGAGGGCACAGAAGGCTCTGTAGGCCTTCCACCAGGCGCATCGGTCGTTGTCCACGTCTGTAGAGTTACTGCTGAAGATCAGAGTCTTGAAAGAGCCAACTGACTGCCAGTACGCAGAATTGCTGGTCATCTGTCGAACAGCAGAATGAAATACAGACTGCTCAACTTCTGCTCCAGAGCTGAGTACGTCAGAGGAAGGGGCATGAAGGTCTGCCTCAGATGGTTGCCTAAGCAAGACAAAGCTGCGAAATGCAGGAGCATTCCGAAGAAGGGCTGTGAGTGGGATGTTTGAGCAAGTAACACCCTTGGGCATGCACATCATGGAGCGAAGAGAGGGCAAGCTGGGCACTGCGAAGCTGCTCTGTACAAGGACGAAGTGTCTAAAACAAGGTATAAGCATCCAAGGACAGATCAAAAGACGTAAGGCTGATTCACATGTATAGCCTGCTCAGGGTTTTGAAGGCTACCAAGTCCGTTGCCCACGACTCCAGAAGTCTGAGCTATAGTGGGAATCGTTTCAAAAGCGATCTGCAAGGGAATATGCAAGGTCAGATATAGCAGTAACCACAATAGAGTGTAGAAACACACTCTCGGCCATGTACGAGGGCAGATATTTTCATCAGCCTGAGAATCCAAGCGAGACTCCGGCCTTGACCGTGTAATGGCTGTGCTTGTAAGAACAGACTGTAAAGTCATTAGACGAACTGCCAAAGATCAGACCAGATGAGACGCATACTCCAGAAGTGGCCATTGCCAGGGTAGTGGTATGTGTAAGCTGTGATCCAGCAAGAGGACCCAACTCTATGGCCTAATGCTCGTGAGCACAGGAGAGAAATAGAGCAGAGGAACAGGCACTCACATCATCAACATCGTTATTCAGAGAGCTTGAACATCTGGGAGAGCAAGTGATAGGATCATGGGAGACATCAAATACTTCCTTGAGTTCAGTTAGGATGAACCTCTAAGAGAAGCATGCATGCAGTAGGTTATCATGCTCGAGGTCAGAGGTACCGCTGACATCAAGCAGATCATGAAGGAGAGGGCCAGTGCGAGGAGCTAATGGAATTATAGATGTTCAATAATGACGAAGCAGCAAAGCAGGAGGAAAGTCAAACACACCGAGCCAGATCAGAGAAAGGTCGTTCAAAGACTTGTTAGAATGGCGAAACAGCTGACTAAGCTTCACAAAGGCTGCCACTGTGATCTGCCCACCAGTAAGAGACTTGACTTTGATCTTCCGGCGAGGAGGGACCTTCTCGGTCTTACAATGAGATGGCTGCATAATGTAGAAGGGAGCTTCATCAAACTCCAATGGAACCGTGTTTGAAGAAGCTGTAGAGTATCGAGCTGCACGAAGGGCACGCTCTACTTAGGACAACAACTGCTGCCAGATGACACCAACATGAGGAAGCGAAACTTTGAAGTGCAGGCTGTGGCTACTGAGAGCATTGAGAGTGAGACAAGTGTCTCTGACGGTGAGACGCAAGCTAGGGAACAGGTAATTGTGATTCCAAGAGCCAGGCTGGTGTGCATGGCATTGGTTAGTTTAACATGTACTGAAGGTTAGACAGAAGATGTACCAGGAATGGAAGAAAGGCGACCATAAAGTCTTTATCTGGAGACACCTGCACATGACCAGCCAGAGGCCTAGTAGCCGAAGGAAAGGCTGTTCTTGGTTGACCAGGGCTGCTAGCCAGTTGAGATGAGTTGAAAACCTGCTGATTGTGCTGAGGAAGGCTCTGCTGAGCATGTCTGGCTCGTTCTTGACTGACTGTCAATACTCCCTCTTGTGCAGAGTCGATTGCGCCACGAAAAGCATGGATTGGGCTCACAAAGCCTGGCCAAATAGTGCTAAGTGCAGAGCGCAAAGAACTATGATGACTGCCAATATTTATTAATGTACACAGGTGCTTCTCTGGCTAGCGGCTGACTACCAAGGCCTGCACTGGTCAAGCTGCGCATAACAAAAGGATTGGTTGCGGTGAGGCTGTTGTCCATGTCCAAAACTTGAGATTGGGGATACAAAGGCTGAGATAAACCACTACTTGTGGTCCCAGTACTGCCGGTGTGCCATCAGAGGACAAGATAGGGCTGGGAGAAAGGGATAATGTACAAAGTACAGCGCTCATTGGATCTATGAGCCCACCATGGATGGCCACAGAAGGTGCAGGGCATGTTGGCATCATGGGTTATCTGGAAGAGATATATATTGTAGATTGGCACTTGATGCACAAGGTATAATACTTACCTTTACAAGCCGGCCGCCATTACTGTCGTGGCAGACAAACTGAACGCATCCAACTGAGCACTCAGAGGATGTGTCGGTAGGGAATCCAGAGCATTCTTTGCCCTCAGGCAACGAAGGGAGGAGTTGAGTGTCCATGGCCTGAGAGCATGACCAGCTGAAGTGGCCATGTAGTTGGGCCACGACGCTTTATATTCACCTGGCGATCATAAAGCGTCGTGGCCCACCATGCATGAAAGCCCGAAAAGTCTCCAATTTTCCATCACTTTCTGGAGCTGCATCTAAGCTTACAGTGTACAATTTAACCTAGGAGTGCCCAGCAGACTGTGGCTGCCTGTCGGGTCGTCAGTATTGAAAAATTCTGGGCCTGTCTGCCCATTTCCGCCCAGCCGCGTCTACATTTGGGTGGTTTGGCTGATGTAATCCACAGAGACTAAGCGTCGGTGTGCCGTTTCTGCCACAATCTGCCGGTATCTGCCCTTCGAAACCACTGGCACTGTATCACTACCCAAAACACAGGATTTTGTCTGACAAGGACCTTCATATAGCTTGGCTGCTGTGTGGCTTGACTGTAACGGCTAGCAGCTAAGTAATCGAGCCATGGCAACACTAGCTATCATCACAAACAACAGCAAAGGCCAGACAGTCAGTAGGACACCACATTGACTCATTGAGCAACATGCTCTACAAGCTGAATGCAAAGTGGATCACCGAGGACTTTGGGCATGGGTTGAACAACAAGGTCAGAGAGCTCCATGGCAAAGGGCTCAGATTGACAGCCGGCAGGCTGTCGGTATGTATACCAAATCAAGTAATGGCGGGCGGGCAAGGTGATATGCCATATATAGTAACAATTGGGCTAGGTGCAGTCTAATCACAGAGACGCCGGGGCACAGACATTGGCACAGAGCGTCAAATTCCTGGACTTTCTGGATTGGACGGGGGCATTTTCCGAGATCAGGACCCGAGAACCGCCCGGTTACAGTCATTAGTTAAGTCATTCAGTAAAGTCAGTGACTATTTAACTAGGTACTAACTAGTCATTAACTAGCACAACACTGCGCAGATAACGAAGTTCGTTATCTGCGTCTGAGCAGGACTCATCGTGCGCGGCCTCAGGGCGCCTATGGCATCTGGGAATGCAATGCGTCGGCAGTTGATTCGACTCGTATAAATGGAATTTAAATCCAGAAAGTCTGGTTTAGCTATCTGTCTAGCTCCATGATTCTTCAGTAGCTGTAAGGATCTCACGTTTCCGGATGTGCCGCATCGGCGAACACCGTGCCACAAAGGCGCGGCAAGCTGGCGCCCTCCCATCTCCCCGTTCTCCGCTCTCCACTGTCTCTGCGGCATATCTATTCCTTCTCTCTCCCCCCCAATATCCCACCCCAATGTGCGAGTACTGCTCTACCGACACATCTGTTCCTGCGGCGTCTAGCTCAAAGGACGTTTCGGTATCGGCTGCATCAACGGATCAGGATACCACCAGCGAAGAAGAGATGTTGCAGGAGGTTGAGCGGGAGCTGAAAATGGAGGAGGGACTGGACGAGGAAGCCTCCAGAATAGTGTCGCCAGCTGTGCAGGAGGGTCAGGGTGAGGGATCTAAAAAGCATGGGCTGGTTGAAGAAGTGGATATTTGGTCTGCGAGTCGTGTTTTGAAGCGAGTTCGTACGGAGGAGGTTCAATCTCAGGCATTGGGTGCGTCTATCTGCAGTGGAGCTTATGCCACGACTCTTACAAACAATGATGTGCAGCAGATCTTAATGTATTCATTGCTATCTCGAACCTCTCCACACTCGTTAGTAGCCTCGAGCGCATTACAGAACAAGCCGTCTCGTCTGCGACGGTTCTGCGTGACGAAAATGCGAGAATACAAGATGAGAACGCAAAATTACAACGTTCTTCGCAGGAGTACTTGAAGAAGGCTGATGAACTCGAGCGTGTGCTGTGGAAAGTCCGCGAGGAGTACTACGGGCTCAAGGGGATGGCCGGCGCGCAGGCTTTGGCGTTGCAGAAGGCACAGGATGCTGCCGCAGAGAGAGAAAGCCCAACGAAGCACACACACGACGCGGAGCGGCAGATCGAGCACCTCCGTCAGAACTTGCAAACGCTCACAAGGGACTACGACGAGCTAAAGAACGAGAACGAGAATCTCCGTGCACAGAACGACAACGTCCGTGCGCAGCGTGACAAATATCGCGCGAGCGCAGAAGCGCACACGAAGAAAGCAGAAGAGCTTCTGCACGTACTTTGGCGTGTGCGCGACGACTATTACCGGCAGAAGGCGACGGCGAAGCAGGCAGGCGAACTATCCCGGAAGGTCGAGCGACTCAGCGCAGAGAATTCTTTACTACAGCAATCCCTCGACACGTTGCGCGACGAACACGAGCAGCTCAAGCGGGCTTGGACGCTGTCTATTGTGGGCCCATCAGGCTAATGCGCGGGCGGACCAGTCCTAAGTTATACACTATATATCCTGTATGCCTCCCACCGTAGAATATACCCGGCTTAGAAGCGCCTGTCCATGAGCACGCTTTGGATCGTTTTATCTGCTCCAAAACACGGCAGCCATTCGTCGAGCGCGAGCTCGAACAGCGCGAGTCCAGAGTAGAAGGGCTCTTGTGACACCGGACTGTAGAACCCAACAGTTCGGAAGTCGCTATGGTTCGAGTCGGGTGTGAGCAACACGCGCAGGTCTGAGACATGAACCATGTTCGCATGCGTGAGACCAAAGAAGGACGGGTACGCCGGAGCTTCATTGCATCTGTGCGGCGGCATAGTCAGCATGTCGGCAATGGCGAACGTCAGGGAGATGCATACCGCGGCACTACAACACTTGGAAGGCGGTGTGGAGAGTTATCTTCGATGGAAGCGAGTCCCATCGTTCGCCACGGGTCAACTGTGAGTCGTCATGCGTTCAGCCGATGATCATCGTGCAGAAGAAAGACGCTTACATTCACCCATTGTGAACAGCACGTTCGATGGGCTCATATCCCATCCGCCATACTTGTTAACATGCTCGACCTGTGGTGACGGTGGAAGTCCACTGCCGAAGGTGTTGTTGCACTCCTGCTGGAAGAGCTCTAGGGAAAGGAACGATGTCTCAATAGAGAGCGGGTTATTCGGGTCGCCGCGCTGGTAGAATCCTAGGATGCAGCGATTAACGCATGAAGAGCACATCAATCAGTGAACCGCTCACCATACTCCGAGCAGTACTGCCACATCCACGAGAGATCTGCGACTGGATCGTCTGGGTCACCTGGTATCTCATCGTAATTTATTTGTACGAGCCCGGTGAGGAATGAGTCGAGGGCGACCTCGATGCTATCTGCCGCTGCCAGCCCAAACTCCTGAGCGTCTACGATGAAGTTGTGCGTCTCAAGGATGTTGCAGAAAGGGAGGAGTGACGCATTAAAACCATAGTACTACAGTACCATGGGTGAGTGCTTCGATGCAAGAAGGAGCCTTGATCGTACCTGGTAGAAATCCAGTGGATCCATGAGAACACCGGCTGCAGAAACATCGCTGGTATTTGCCGCAGTGGCCAAACTAACCGTCACGTTCTTCGTCGGACTGCTTGCCCTAGCACCCAAGAGACGTTGCTTCAAGAGTATCTGCTCCGCGTCGGTGCCGTTCGCGAGAGTGGCATCAACATACTTCGTGACCGCGACCCAGTCTGCAGAACAGTTACGTGTCAGGCTGCGTTCAGCAGCCTTGTAGTAAGATGCCATGTCTACCTGCGCTTGGACGGGCGCAGATGATGCCCAGACGGCAAAGAATGTCGCCGGATTGCGCACGCGGAGAAGCGCGCCGCGGACGCCAGGGTACGAGCCACCGATCCAAACCCAGGGTGTGAGGGAGGGGTGGAGCGCCGCAGAGCTGAAATTGACAGAAGGATTCTGTGACTGTGTGGAGGATGGAAGAGTGAAGCGGTCAGCGAAGTAGACGACGTCCTCAAGTGCTTGCTCTGTCGTGAGGAACTGCCATTGTTCGGTGGTCGTATTGTCCTGTAGCAGACCGTCAGACTTCGTTACAGCGCAACAAAGCTCAAAAGCGCACATTCACCGGAAAGGGAAGCGAGTCGCCGTAGAACCTGTGCTCCCAAAGAACTGCCACTCCATTGTATCGCTTTGCAAGTCGCATCGTTGCTGAGAGACCGTGGTATTCCTACACTATGTTGGATTCTGACTGATACGATTTCTTCTGAACGAACGTACCTGCAAGTAGTATGATAACAGTGGTTCTGCATTTTGTTCGCCAGAATCAAAAACTGCATCCGACAAGACCAGTATGTCAGCATGACAGCCACTATACGCAGATAAAATGCGATCTGCATACAAAAGACCGGACCCCCAAGTTCGTAGTACGACGCGTTAACCCAATACCTATTCTTGAAGGTGCCTGGAGCACCGCCAAAGTGGTCTAGCGGCATCTGAGGTAAGGTTAGCGAAGGAGGTCATCAAGCTACAGACAAAGTCGACGTACTTCTATGAACAGCGGGTCATTCTGCACCGTCTCCCCTCTCTTGACTGGTGCAAACCGCTCTTGCGGCCGCTTCCGGGACGCGGAAACCAAGCTGCTGAACGTGTATAGGGCGAATATCAACAGAATCTTCATGATGTTCATGTTGGGAACGCGACCGCGGCGGATGTTGGGGCCCCGTGCAGCCAGCCATCTATATAACATTCCTTCCGTCTAAGACCGTATCGTGATAAGTAGATAAGTGCATATGGCTGGTGGATCACTGTTACACGAGCTCGCCGACGTGCCGGACGGAGAGCTGACGGACGTCATGAGACGGTGGAACTAGGAATTGCGGGAGCATGCGAGAACGAGGCCCTTCCTGGCCCTTCCTGCAGAAATGCGTTGCATACACTTCGGCGGAACAGTACATCCGGCCGCGAAGCCTTGCCTGCACAGAGGTTTATCATCACGAGAGCAAGGCAGACGAGTGTGTGTCCTTACCAATACACTATATAATACGAGAAGTGAAGTGTGGGTCTTCGTCCCGCGCGAGGTGTCATGCATGTCATGGTCTTAACTCAAGGCATCCGAGGACCGATGTCTGCAAAGCGTCTGGCCGCTGTCAAACGCTCCCGCTCCGGCTTTCAACCACGCTTCCACTACCGCCCCATGCAGCATCCTACCGTAATGGCTTACTCGCTTCTACATACGCAAGGTCGAGACTCTGGAAGGACCATGATGGCCTCATGCAATCCTACCAGCGCCTGATGCGCCTTCCCGGGTCGCGTCGGCCTTCCGCTTCGCTTTGCTCAGGACCACCACCACCCCACTCCCTCAAATATGTCGACTACGGTGATCACTAAACTGGCGCGTGCGAGCTCCCTTGCTGTGAGGCGTTCAGCAGCCCTGAAAGTGCGCGGGTATGCTGCTTTAGCCAGCGAGGTACGTCGGGTGCATTTCCTGTTGAACGTTAGGCAGTCGTTGACATTGTTGTGCAGCTCAGGAAGACCGGACTATACGATTTCCATGTTGGGAATGACGCTAAGATGGTACCGTTCGCTGGGTATTCTATGCCTCTATCGTACGGCTCTGTCGGTGCCGTCGCGAGCCATAACCATGTCCGCGAGAGCGTCGGCCTGTTCGATGTCGGACACATGATGCAGAGCAAGTGAGCACGCGAGCTCTTCAGCACACGTGTTTCGTTGACAACAAGCAGTTTCCGAGGCGCGACCGCATCACAGTTCCTCGAATGGCTTACCCCGTCGTCCCTATCTATCCTTGAGCCGTACTCCTCCACGCTTTCCGTGCTCCTGAACGAGAAGGGCGGCATTATTGATGACACAGTCATCACAAAGCATGCACAAGACGCCTTTTATGTCGTTACGAACGCGGGTCGTCGGGATCGGGACCTGCCCTGGTTCCAGCAGAAGCTTGAGGAGTGGAACGCCAGCGAACGCGCCAAGGGCGGCAAAGTTGAGCTCGAACTACTCGACAGCTGGGGGCTGCTGGCATTGCAGGGGCCCGAAGCGGCGAACTACCTTCAGAAGTTCACGCCTTATGATCTGAAGAAGCTCACATTTGGCAAGTCTGCATTTGTGCCCATTGAGGGCTACAACCTGCACGTTGCTCGCGGTGGGTATACCGGCGAGGATGGCTTTGAGGTACGTTGTACGTATGACGAGCTCAATCTGGTACTGACCTGCGCACAGATCTCTGTTCCTCCCAATCAGACGGTCGAGGTTGCGAGGCTGCTCTCGCAGGACCCTGTGCGGCTGACCGGCCTTGGTGCCCGTGATAGTCTGCGTCTTGAAGCGGGCATGTGCTTGTACGGCCAGGACCTTGACGAGAGTACGACCCCCGTGGAGGCTGGATTGACTTGGGTTATCGGTACGTCGAGTAGCCCTAACGTCGCACGGCCTTGCAGCTGATGTACACACACTCTCAGGTAAAGACCGTAGAGAGAAGGCTGATTTTATTGGTGCTGCAGGCGTTCTTCAACACTTGAAAGATGGCCCGCCACGCCGACGAATCGGCCTCGTCATCGAAGGTGCACCCGCCAGGCGTAAGTGATATCCAATATCGATTGTAGACTTTGTCTGACATTGTGCAGAGGGTGCAAAGATTGTCGAGCCCACCAGCGGAGAACAGCTAGGTACTTTGCGAGTCCCCAATCGTGATGATCGCATCCTCATTATTCTTCTAGGCGTTGTGACCTCGGGTCAGCCCTCACCTACACTAGGAAAGAACATCGCAATGGGATACATCAAACATGGGTGGCATCAGAAAGGCAAGGAGGTCGTGGTCGAGGTGCGCAACAAGCCTCGACAGGCGTTGCTCGTGCCGCTGCCTTTCTACAAGCCACGCTTCTACAGGGGATAGACATATTTCCTACTGCGTGTGACCTGTCTTAGCGTACCGGATGGATGCTCAACCATCCATATCTTTGTATAGTCTTGTATCTCTAGACATATCCAATAATCAGGAGGGAGATTGTATCTTAGTGATGAGTCGCGCTGAGCACCGATAAGCGCCCGCAACCGCCTGTACGACTGCTACCACCACCGTCGCCTCGCCAGTATACCACGTTCCCCGGAGTCTGCCTCGTTATCTTCAGATCCTTTGGGGCTGAGAAGTTGTTCACCATGTCTCGGTTTGTCCGCGCATCGAAATACCGGTCAGTCTCGCGCGGGTTTGCAAGGAGGGACGACCACTGACTTGGCGCACGCTGGTAGCCATGTCTTTGGGCAGCCGGGGAAGAAGGAGTATTGCATCGAGAATCTCAAGGTGACGAATAATGCCTGGGACACCAACTTTGTAGCTGCATCCGGGGTGTGTTTTTTTTCCTCGCTTCGAGCTTATATTCCTCATTCGCGTCCGCTCAGCAATATCTGAGTATCAACTGGAATGCCTCTGGCGGCGGCGCGTTCGCAATCCTACCGCTACCCTCACCTTTTACGAACATTCCTAGCGGCATCCCCTCGAAGATCCCGGACATCATCCCCCTCGCGCGGAGCCACACCGGGCCCGTACTCGACACAGACTGGTCCCCGTTTAATGACAGCGTTGTCGCCAGCGCGGCCGACGATGGCAAGGCGATGATCTGGAAGGTCGACGCGTCCGTATTTGATGGCTGGGGCACGGACGGTTGGGAGCCACGCGACTTTGACCCCGTCGCCCGCATCGACGTCACGCCCCGCCGCGTCGGCCAGATCCTCTTCCACCCGACCGCGGAACACGTGCTTGCGACCGCGACGGGCGAACACACTGTCAAGCTCTGGGATCTTGGGAGCCCTGAGAGCGCAAAATCGATCTTAACTGGACACGGCGATAGCATTCAGAGCTTCGCATTCAACCCGGCTGGAAATCTCATCGTCACGACCTGCAGAGACCGCAAAATTAGGCTGTTTGATGCACGGGCCGGCGGAGAGGCTGTTCGCATTACTGAGGGACATGGTGGTGTTAAGGTACGTGTCATGCTACTCTTGTTGTGATGGCCCTGACAGCGATTGTAGGGTGCGCGAGTCGTCTGGATGGGCGAGCATGACCGCATCGCAACGACTGGTTTCAGCAAAATGAGCGACCGCCAGGTCGGCATCTGGGACGCCGGCAGTCTGAGCAACGTCAAGATGACGTCCATTGACCAGAGTGCTGGAGTGCTAATGCCGTTCTGGACTGACAACAACATTCTATTCCTTGCGGGCAAGGGCGACGGCAACATTCGCTACTATGAGTACGAGGGCGAGAGTGATACGCTTTACCCGCTTGCGGAACACAAATCGACCGACCCGCAGCGTGGCATGTGTTTCTTGCCGCGCCGTGCGCTCAATGTCAACGATTGCGAGATTGCTCGCGCGTATAAGATCGCCGGAAACACCGTCGAGCCCATTGCATTCATTGTGCCACGAAAGGCTAGTCATGCTACTCTATACGCCGCGTGCCGTCGCTTACTCTGCTGCAGTCGGACTCCTTCCAAGCCGATATCTACCCTCCGGCCCCTTCATCCGAGCCTGCGCTGACCGCGGGCGAGTTTTTCTCGGGGAAGATCGCTCCACCCAAGCTTGTCAGCCTCGACACCGGTGCCATCACTACCGGTGCTGCTCCCTCTGCTATCCCTACATCCGCTCCCGCGGCCACACCCGCCCCGACGAGGACTTCCAGCGCACCCGCGCCTGCTCCTGAGTCGTCACCTGTAGTACGAACGCCGTTGGTGCTGTCCCCCGTCGAGCCGCCGTCGCGTACCGTCTCTATCGCACCTGTCGACAATGAGAGCGCCGCACTCAAGGAGGAGAACGCTCGCCTGACGGCAGAGCTTCGGGAGGCGCGCGAAAAGATCAGGAACCTAGAGCTTCAGGTCGAGAGTGTGCGTGCCAACGCGCGCAAAGCTGCTGCATTGCTCGAACAGTAAATCAAGTTGGAAACACCGAAGAGAAGTATAGAAGTATTTATGTAGCGTAACGTGTATATCATGACTGAAATATTGAAATCTCGGGGATGAAAAGAGCTCAACGTGTTTTGGCGAATTGGTACTAGGTCGTCTTAGACACGACGATCACCTTAGAGGAGAACTATTCGTGTTTAATGCAAGCTCCTTCGCATCACCAGGTGAGACGAGCGCGATTAGTTAGTTGTTGCAAGGGACTGCTGATCCTGGCTTCAAGTATGGTATAGTACTCAGACGACTACCTTCAGATAAGTCAGGTTTTACTCTGGCTACATTAACCTGCGGTCCTTCCGTACTTCTTCCTTATGGCGTAACACTAGTCGTTGTCCTTAAGGAAGTTTGAAATTTGGAAATTTACCCCTTGCATCCACTAGCTGACGCACGCAATCCAAGTCGCTAGCCTCAACATTAGTTTGACGCTCTCATCTGTACATTGATTATCGCGTACGGCGATTTATGTGCCCCAGTCGGATTCGAAGCCCAACAAGATCGGGACAGGTACTGTACCTGTAACAAATCGGCAAATGCCAGTGTCCATGCTATTAGCTGTACGTGGTATCCAAAGGTCTACAATGTGTGGTATACATACAAGCAAGTATATGCCAGTAACATAGTTTGCGTATTGTCCGAACAATAAAGTCTCGAAGTGTTAAAAAGTGGCAACAGTGGGGGTGGTCAGGGAGACGAGTCTGATATCGTGAAGGGAAGGAGCTGTCCCAGTAATGGGAGGTGCGCAAAAAGCGTTCCAGATAAGGCTAGAGTTATAGTCCGAGGAAGATGCTAATGAGAACCGAGAACATAAATGAGATGGACAGGGTGGGGAAAGATGACGCGTTGCTCGTCTTGGCGTTCGTCTCAGTTGGCTTGGACTGCGTAGACGTAGCCGTAGGCGGCGTGACCGAGCTCGGCTGCGTCAGCGCGACACCGTTCCATTGGGCGCGGATGATATTCGCAGCCTGTTCGGCGAGGCCGTACGTCGGCATTTGAAGGTGCGCGGCGAACGCGATGGGGAACACACTCGCGTCAGCGACACGGACGTTCGCGAGGCCATAGACCTTGAGATCGCTGTCTACGACACCGCCTTGCTCCTGGGGGAGCATGGCACACGAGCAGCTCGGGTGGAACTCAGTACCGAAGTTTTCCGCTGCCCAGGCGTCCCAGTCGTCATCGCTCTGCACGCTCGGGCCGGGTGAGACTTCGGAGATGACGGCGCTGCTCAGCGGCGCGGTATTGCCAAGTATGCGGGCGAGCTTGAGGCCCTCGCGGAGCATCACGATATCTGTCACAGTTCATCAGAGAACGCAGCAGTACATAGGTAAAGGGGCGTACCAGCCGGGTGCGAGATATACTTAGGATCAATGACTGGTGGGTCGAACGGGTCAGAGCTGTTGATATACAGTCGCCCTTGGCTACAAGCAATATGCTGATCAGTTCTATGCGGCTCCTAACCCGCAGGTAAACACACCTGAACGGATGCTGCAGGGCCGCTTGGATGGCAACGACCTTGTCTGTGCTCTGTGTCGTCCCGGTGAGGGAGAGGAGAATCTCCATCTGACCGATGGGTGTGCCCATCAGCTGCACCGTGGTATTATAGATCGCTTCGTACCCCGCGATCACGCCAGTGTCGGTCGACGGTACGAGTGTCGAGGAGGATGTCTGAAGTGCGGATGTAATATTCTCCTGAAAGGTTGTGTAGTACGAGCCGAGCAGGTCGGAGATGTTAGCGTAAGCTGTCGCAGAATTAATGAAGGACAAGAACGGCGAAGACTGGCCGTTGGGGAGGTTCGTGGCGTTTGCTGCGTGTAACGAAGCTGCAGTATCATCGGATGTCTGGAATGTGACTTGGGTGCTCTGGAAGACGGGATCAGCTGCCAGCGCGCGAGGGTGAGTAATCGCAGCTCACAATATGATCCTGCAAATGTTGGCCAATACCAGGCAACTCGACGTTGACAGGGATGTTGACTGCCTGTAGAACATCTGATGGTCCGACACCGCTGAGCATGAGCACTTGAGGGCTGCCAATCGCACCACTCGCGATGATAACCTCCTTCGTGACGTTGACTGTCTGGCGCAGCGCTGTCCTCGATGTTGCAAACTCGACCGAGTTCGCGCTGAGGTTGTTCTGGGGCGAGCCTGTGGCGAAGATGATGCGGGTGACAGTGCTGTTCGCGAGGATGTCAAGGTTCGCGCGCGGTGGGAGTGGATCAATGTACGCGGAGCGCGAGTACGAGCGCGTCCAATTGGTTGGGTTGATCGTCGAGGTCGCAATGAAGCCGCCCCAGCCGTCGCCTCCGTTGGCGTCTGCAGAGAAAGGAATACCAATATCTTCTAACGTCACAGTCCAATTGCCAACGACGGGCAAGATACTGCAAAAGGGGTCGTAAAGAGCGTCATAAAGACTGCGGATACTGCTTACTATCCAGGATAAGAGACGTGCACCGGCCCGGACGTGCCATGGCTTGACGGGTCGTACATGATGTTGCCCTCCTGCTGGATCTCCTGACTCGGCGCGGTGAAATTTTCACTCTTCTTCATGTTGGCGAAGAGGCTGTTCCAGTTCCACTTGTCGCCACCGGGGATCATCGCCCCCCAGGCATCGACTTCGAGCTTGGATGGGCGCACGGCGTACATGCCGTTCAGGGCAGACGAGCCGCCGAGCACTTTGCCGCGCGGCCAGGTAATCTGCCTGTTGGCGGCGTTCGGCTGCACTACCGTCTGATAGTTCCAGTCATAGCTTGAACCGAGCAGAGAGGAGTAGTACGCGTTTCCGGGGATGTCTGGAGTGACATTAGCATAAGGAGAGACGTATACGGACAGAGCCGCACCTATGGAATTGGCTACAGCATCGCCAGTGTCACCAGCCTCAAGGACAAGAACTGTGTGATTTGAGTCCTCTGACAGGCGGGACGCAATAGCCAGCCCAGCCGTGCCACCACCGACGACGACAAAATCGTACGAATTCGCGATCTGACCGTTGTAAACGATATTTCGCCTGCGCAGTGCTTGGTCTCTTTGAATTTCGCGCCCGTACTCGTCGTGAAATATGTCGCGGTGACCTCCCGTGAAGCATGACGCAGACGAGGACAGTAGGACGACCGCGAGCAAGAGGCCCAGCGACCGCATCGCTATGAAGGAGGATAGGATCTGAGAGAGTAAAGAAAGGAAGAGAAGTACTAGTGTGAGCCGTAAGGAGTAAATTGAGTCTGGGGATGTTCGGGCACTTACCTCCGTTCTTTATATCCGCATGACCTCAAGGACTTGGCGGCAAAGCGACGCTCCGGGCTAACGACCCCGGCGTGGAATACACCAGATTCCGATGACAAAGGCAAACATGGTGCTGCAACGGCGCATGGTGCGCGTCGAGATGATTGCCCTCCGGCTGCGCCGTGTTCGAGCTAGACAAGGCGGACGAGACTCGAGACCAACTCGAGCGCTCCAGGCACCAGGCCAGACCAAAGTTCGCACGGCATTCGGAGCGCTCATTATCGCGGATCCTACGCTGATTGATCCGCGTAAATTCGGCAATCGCCGGTTTCGCTTCCGGGCCCAACAACTTAGGCTTGAAAACCTACGCGTTCCTAATAGCTACAGCTTGTGCACACCACATATTGCACTACTTCCTCAAGTTCTGCTACACCATCATGCGCGACGCTGTTGGCATCGCAAAGCACAAGCTCCCGCAGTGGTCTCCCATCTCTGCCGCGCTTTCGACAGATATCGACTACGTCCTGGAACGTCCCAGTGTAATACAAGCAATCTACGAGGAGAATTAGCAGAGAAAAAAAAATTCAAAATGTTCACGTTACGTTTCATCCATTCCTCTGTCTTGAGTTCATTCTTATCCTGTAAGTTCGTCGCCACTAGCGCAACCGATTGTGCACTCGTAGCGTGCAGCAGCTCGCACTGAAGGGCAGCTTGAGCACAGTTGATTGTAAGGTGGCGTAGCTGTGGCATCGTGCACAGCGCGTAGGCGAAGTCAAATGAGGCCCGGCCAACGTCGTGAGTAAACAAGAATCCTTGGCGATAGATCTGTACGTCTGGCAGAGTGAGAGGGGCAAGGACCTCAACGATATCCTCCACATGTGACGGTACGTCGATGGTTAACTCAACGTCGGCTGGTATGCGGTCGGCCTCCTCAGAACCTAGGAGGCTCCGCGCTGTTCTCCAACCCCTCAGCTTATACATCGATGGAAAGATGGCGGCGTCTATGCAAACAACGGGCGCAAACTGCAACGATCTAACGTTTGGTGGGGTCGTGACGATCTGAGAGACAGCAGCAGAAATAACGGACCAGTCTCGCTCGATCGGGAAATCGAGCGGGGAGAGGCATTTCAGGACGAGCTTCGCTGTTTGCGGGATGCGGAACGAGCGTAGCGCTGCCGCGCATACCTTCGTCAAGGCAGTGAGTCGTAGAGTGCGTAACCTCGGAAGGGCGACGGCGGCCTGCGGATGAGGCATGGTGTTGCTGAGTATGACCTCGAGATATTCCAAGTGGGGTGAGCGTGCCAAAGAGTGAGTAAGTTTCTCGATAGTCGGGAGGTACTGGCTCTCGAACCGCGCCCCAGGAAACCCGTGTACGAGCACGAGACTCTTGAGTGCGCTCGTGCACAGACACGTAATGGGGAAGCGAAGTGCGGCGACGCTCTCCAAACGCTCTAGCGCCGTAAACATGGAAGATGCTTCGGCGGGGCAAATGGTCTGATCTGAAGGCATGAACTCAACGAATAGCAGCGTCCGAAGACACGGCATAGACACGGCTAGTGACGCTGTAAGGTACTTTGCGATGAAGGGCATGACGAGGGTGCCGATCTGGCGAGGGTGAGTATGCAGCAGCTGCCGGAAAGTCTCCGCTCTCTCTTCATTAGAGCCAGTACGGAAGGAAACAGTCAGGGGAAGGCCCGCCGTGCGATAGACCATAGTCTCGACGGCCTCCCTCCGGACGATGGCAATGTGAGTCCAGAGACGCGGATCGCTGAGCGCCGCGATGCGCCATGCGCGGCATACGTGAGTAATTCGCATCCAGGCGTACGGCAGCGGCGGTGGGGGCACGTAGTCCATTCTCCAGCGCATGTAACCTGACCTCGAGGTCTCGCCTGGGGCATGGCTTTCGTATGCCGACCACGAGACGAGCGAAGTGACCTCCTTCAGCTTGAGGTGCTTGATCCACTTCTCCCGTGCTTCCTCGGCGAGCAGGCCAAAGACGTCACAAAGCAACTCCAGCGGGATGGAAAAGACGGTAGTGGATAGCATATCGACAGATGCTTGCGCACGTTCAGTCGTAAGGAGGAAAGTATCGTAGATCAGAAAGTTGCTCACCTCGCGACCTGCTGGGTTAGTGCCCGACCGTACTTCGACTTGCCTCCGCTGCTACAATGGAGGTTCTTATAAATAACAAATACATGGAGAGGAACGGCTCCCCCAAGGGCTCCCCAGAGCATGGTTGATGGTCCCGACTTAGCTGTACACCACGATGGGGGTCAATTATGTACAGCGAGTGGCTTACGTATAGTGGCTAACTTGAACAGGCGCGAAGCATGCCCGTCGAGGTAAAGACGTTAAGCCTCTGCCATAAGACGTGATTGGAGCAATATAAGAATTGTTGTACAAGATTAATCTCGTAATTGAAACGAGGAACAAACTTGTGGCAGCGACACGGGCGCAAAGGCGCTCAATTGAAGATCTCAATTACTTACTGTTCTTCAAATACGCGCGATCGCTCGCAATGAGCGCGGTGCCCGTAAATACGTATGAGTTACACATCCTGCGTCGTTAGGTAATGCAAAGGGAACCACTCTGGCGGCGTCCACTTCCCTCCAACCATGTCTGCCTTGATCATCCCCGCGACAGCCTCTGCGCTGCAATTTATTTGCGTCAACAGCTACTACAAGAAAGTTGTAGTACCAAAATACGCACCAAGCGAACGCTCGGGGCATGCCATGTCCGGTATACCCCGCAGAGATATATTGCCCCTTGTGTTTTGTGCGGGATCCGGGGTCGTGCGGGTCGATTACGGGGCCGACCTATGATGAAGTGAGCATGGAAAGAATTGGAGGTCAGCGTGAGGACCACACAAATGGCTCATGCGACTTAGTGTATCCCATGATGCCAGTCTAGGCAAGTGAAGTAAGCATTAACAGGATGTAGAGACAGTCTTTCGCGCACCCATTCCATCTCAACTTGATTGCCTTCGTCAAACTTGTCGGGAAAGACTGCAGGCAAGAAACGACGGAGAACAGTGCTGACTTCCGGGTTGACGACCGAATCGTCGATCTCATGAAACTCGTAGCCGCCGTTCTGGGTAGCTTCACGGCCGCCGCCGAGGATGATCAGCTGGCCCTTCTCATTTGTCTCCTCTGTCTCTGTTTCGTCACCGCTTAGCGGGAGATTGGGCTTTTGGCGCGGGAACCAGTACTCGAAGCCATCGTTCCCAACGAAGCCCTTGCGGTAGAGTGCATTCGGCATATTCGCACGGATGGCCATGACTTGCCCGCGCGTGGGCACGATACCATCGGGACCATGCATCCAGGGCAGGAGATGGGCAGCGTAGGCATTCGTAGCATGCAGGATGTAGGAGCAGGAGACTGTACCACGCGGGGTATGAAGGGTCCAGTGGCGTTTGGCAGAGGGTTCTGATGTGGAGATGGACGTGACGGGTGTACGCGTATGTAGCAAAAGTTGGAAGTTGTCCGTGGCGTTCGCGGCGATGTTGTAGAGCACACTGACGAGTTTGAGTGGCCAGAGGTTGTTGCCCGGGATGACTACAGCGGGATATGATGTGCCAAATTCCTGAGGGTCATTCAGCAGGCGTAGCAGTCCAGACAGTCTCTGGGGCGTACAGCTTGAACCTCTTCCGGACTCAACCATTCCACATCGCTCAGATCAATCCCCGCTTCAGTTGCTGCGTCGTAATCGGCCCGTGCTTCTTCGTACTCTTGCGACGTGAATAGCAGGATCACACGACCTCCAGGTACGAAGTCGACTTGCTCGATCTTGTCGTGCTCTTTGAGAATGCGAAAGACTTCACCGGCGGTGTAGCGTTCGATGGCGAGTCCACGGACGGCTTCGCCTTTACCGTAAAGTTTATGAAGCCATCTGAATCCTCTGTAAGCGTGTGCGGTGAGATGCCCTCCGTTTCTTCCTGTCTTAGCATGATAAGATGCGGCCTTGTTAAAGAGTATGGTGTATACGCACCGGTTGCGCCAGAGCCTACGTGAAAGCGATGAGCATGACATCCCAGACCTAAACCGTAGAGAGAGATGCTGACAGAACTCTCGAGCATCCAAGACAACGGCCTTCACCGGCTCCTTGCGCACCCTGTCACCAGAAAACGACTGCGCAAGATGATACGCGGCAGACACGCCAGTGATTCCAGATCCAATGATACAGATGTCGGCATCCGTAGTCAGTGCTCCTTCACTTCCATGGGTCAGTGAAGGGAAGAGGTTGGGATTACGAAGCCAGAAGGATCGTGTGCCGTTCACGACTGGAAGCGTCGGTGGTGGCTTGGTGGTCGGTCGCCCGAGGACCACCTGATGTTCCGCACGGACGTTCAGAGGGACCGGCAGGTTAGACATACTGTAAGGGAGCAAGAGCAGCAGGAGGCTTGTGGGAGATGGCAGCATTGTACCATTCTGTGAAACTCGGATATTGGAGATGAATCATATGACAGATCCCGTTGAAGATGGGAGAAGGCAAGAGGTCGAGTCGTTTACATTAGCAACAACTTTCGTCACATCAAGATCAAAGCTGCTCCAACAGATATTCAACCAGAGACGAATCCAGATAGCACGGGATAGTAACAAACATACAGAGAAACACGTATGGGAAAGAAGATGATCTACGAAAAGAATAGCGGCATACTGACAATATAAATAAATATCCTACTCCTCATCTTCGAACCGCAATATCTGGGCATCCTCGTCCACAGGAACATGGCGATATCCTCCGCGAGCGCGATATCGCGTACCGAGCGAGTCGAATCTGGATGCCATCCATTCCCACGCGATGCCCGCCATGCCGAGGAGGTACCATGGTATGGACGCGATGGTGTCGATGACGCCACCGCCGGACGAGATGTGTCTGCTTGGGTCGCCTCCAGGGAGCCGAATAGTTCTAAAGCGGCGATTAGTATGTCAAGGACTCTGCAGGAGGATAGCGGGCTTACCCTCTCGCGAGCCCCATGCGGCGGTAATACCAGTACGCAATGAGAGCGGTAAACATAAACGGCACCAAGAGTACGAAGAACCAAAAGAAAAAGCCATGACCCTTTAAACCCGGGCAGCGATGTTCAAGGCCCCGGTCAAGACGCTTCCCGCCTTCGCAGCTAGATATTGGAACCTTGCGATACGCTGTGCGCTCATACCAGAATTCTTCCCCGTTGCGACATGAATCATCGTCAGACAGAGGCTCGAGCCCCGGGGTTAACACGCAATCGCCGTCTGCGTCCCGCCGGTGGTTGAACTCACTAGAAAACAAACCAATTCAGGGGTGACGACAGCGTCTCAAAATTTACGAGCTTACCATTCGAAGTCGGTTTTGGTACATTCGCAATCTTCGACGATTTTCTCTTCCTGCTTCTCCTGGTCACCAATCACGCAGTTGGATTCACGTCGACGGCGATGGTACAGTGTCTGTTACAAAGTATTGAGAAGGCTGAATCCATCGTAACAAGAAAGATCACGCACTCTTCGACCGAAGAGACAGGCCTCTGCCCTGCCCTCTGCGGGGCTCCACAGCTCAAAGTCGTCATCAGCATTATTGTTGATATACAGCACACCTGCGAATGTCTTAGCTGTGGAGCTACAACTACCTGCCGAACGCGCTTACATTTCCTGTACGTCAGCGCCGAAAAGTCGAGGTGTACAGCGATCGCCACCATCGGGGATCTAGGACGGTACCCGAACAGGATGAACCTTCGACTCGTATCGCTTGGTACAGTCACGATGACCTTCACCCGGATTTTGTCGTCCGTGAAGCGGTATTGGCGCCATGTCAGACCTTCATCAAGCGAATACATGACGTGGTCTGTTGCTTCTTCGTCGTTTGCCATCACAAGCACCGAGCCGCTGTCGCCAAACTCCCAGAGGTGAGCATCTTTATGCACCTCTTCCCACGTAAAGCCTGCGTCCCGCGAGAGGAAGGTGTCGGAGTCCGTGTAGGGGGCAAGGTTCTCGCCGACGTTACCAACAGCCATAATAAGACCTGGCACGGAGGGTGTGCTGTATGTTGCGCGCGCGTCGAAGCGCTCGGTAAAACCATGAACATGTAAGCCACATCTCTAACGAGTGAATTAGTATTCATTGATTAATGCCTGGACGAGAGAGCGTACCGTGGTGTCGCAGTCATATTTGTTGCCATGTGAGTCGACGAGGGGAGGCGTCAGCGGTTTCCATGACCCGCCATCGTTGTGCGTAATCCGCGTTTGTACCTCCTTCATGCCCGTAATGGGAGCATCATGTGGATTGGACACCACGTTGATCAGCGCAATACCGTCAAGGCCAATCATCTTTTCGAAGTCAACATAACCTTCGTCGTTTCGATTCACGTAGTCGGCCGAGATACCGAAGTAGGTGCCGTTCGAATTCGACTTGAGGATATCGCCCCATGCTGGCGCTGGAGCCTCTGAAACGGTCACGTGAAGGAAGACTGACTTAGTGCTCGATTCAAGGATAGTGTAAGCCTGAAAAGAACGTTAGAAGAGGACAAATATAGGGCTGCCGAAGACGACGTACGTGCTGTTCGAGCTTTAGCGTGGGTGGGAACATTCCAGTGGCAAACGTCCGACCGTCAAGTGAGACTTGAATATCAAGAGAATGACTCTCTGACTGGTACTCAGCAACAATGAAGTACTCCGAGAATTTGGCGAAGCCGACGACATGTTCAAACAATTTGGTCTTCGTTTGGTAAAAGTCAGTGCCACTAATGAGTTCCAGCGGGTTATCGATCGAAAAGTACCGCTGCGAGCCCTCCTTGATCTTGTACGACTCGCAGATGATTTGTCGCGGGTCGATACGCAATTCCGCGTCGCGTGCCCACGCGCAGTTGCGCACGTACTTGTCAATGATGTCCCAGTTCTGGCCGTTGTCGCGCGTGGAGTATGCTTCTACGTGGCAGTTCTCGCCAAAACCGCCGCAATCACGGTTACCAGTCCAGATAAGATAGTCACTATGGGTGGGGTGGAAGTGAAGGATCTGGAGCGCAAAGTTGTTCGGTAGGAGTGGCGCCTGCAGTTGATCCCACGATTTGCCCGTGTCGGTCGTGTATAGAACCCTTGTCGTTTCTGTGATGAGGTACGCACGGTCGTGCGAGTATGTGTGATGATAGAACGCAACAAATTTCTCGTCGGGGAACAGATGCGTCCAAGTGTAGCCCTCGTTCGAGCTCTGCCAGATCGAGTGGTCTCCGAGCCGCACGAGGATCGTACGCGACCCTTTGAAATACGAGTATTGCTGTACCGTCGCTGGGAACTCGAAGGTCTGGTGTATCACCTGGCCTTCGGCAGGCTGCGCCTCTGAGCACGACTTTTCTATCCGAGCGTCCTTCCTCACGCCCTTCTCCGCGTCACATGTGTTGCCGGGGATACGGCGATATCCCGACGAGCCCATGTACGTCTGCTTCTGGTCGTCCGCGCCGCATACGCCTTCCGGAATCGGCTCTGGACCAGCAGGTACACACTTTTCGCCTTGCTTGATAAAATTATAGTCGCTAGGAGGCTGGTCAGTTACGTACAGCCGCAAGGTATGTACCGCACGTACCACTCATAGTCGTCGTCCGTGCACGGGCAATCTTCCTCCCGCTCGACGGGGTCGACAAACTTGTTGCCAACGTAGCAGTTCGCACGCTCCTTGCGCCGGCGGTAGGACTGTCTATGCCCCATCACACACCGATTCCCAGGTTTACGCGCGTACCACGTCTCGAAGTCCGAATTCTCGCACTTGCGGTTTCGCGTTCGGGCAAAGTCGAGGTGCACGACTACCCAACGCTGGTCGTCGCCCGGTGCATCCCGCCGTGAGAGCTGGCCGATGAGTATAAACTTCTGTGACGTGCTATCCGGTACTGTCATGAGATATCGTGCGCGTAGCGTCAGCGGGAGCGTGTACTTCTTCCTGTTGGCGCTCGTGAGGATCAAACTCGTCACAGGAAGCAGTGACGTACCATGAATTGCCGAAGTCCACGCTGTATTGTACCTCATCTGTGCTCCCCTCGTCGTTGACGGTTACAAGGATGCTTCCCGAATCGCCGAACTCGTATAAGCTTGCACCCTCGCTAACCATGCGCCAGCTAGCGCCCGCATCGTCGCTCAGGAACGTGTCGCACTCCTCGTACAGCCTCAGATTCGTGCCAATGCTGCCGACAGCCATGACTAGACCTGGCGCAGGGGAGCTGAACACGCGACCAACGTTGTGCTGCTGAGTCACGGAATATAGATGTAGCGAACACTTCACCGCGTCGTTCGGGTCGCAGCTGATCCGCCGCCCTGTGCTGTCCATCGATGGCGGCGGGATGGACGACCACGAGCGACCGTCATCAAACGTGATCCGGCTCTGCAACCTCTTCTCCTCGCGACGCGTCTCGACCTCCTTCGCGTTCATGACAACGTTCGCAAGGCCAACGCCCTCGATGCCGTAGAGCGTCTCGAAGTCGACAAAACCCATCTCGTTCCGATTCGTGTCCTTGAGACTCTCGACGAAGAACGTCCCGTTTGAGTTGCTCACGAATAGCGTCCCAATGTTACTCATATCCTGCAGCAAAACGTCCACCGCGAGCGAGTGCGTCGTCGATTCGACGACCGTGTAGCCGTTCTCGCGCAGCGCTGCCGATGAGGCGTGCGGGAACTCGGCCTTCGCCCAATTGTTCGTGTCGACCGTGACGTATAGCAGCATCTCGCCATTGTTGCCGGTGCTCATGTCCTTCAATGCCACGACAGCGAACTTGCTCACGATCGCTAGTGCGAGAACACCCCGCGCGTTCTTCCCGATACCGAGGTCCTCGACGCGGTTTTCGTCCTTGAAGAAGTCGGTCGAGGAAAATAGCCGGCTCGAAGAGATCGAGTGTATGCCATTCGATGATGAGCTGTCAAAGGCGACGCAGTACACCAGGTCTTCGTGTGCTTCGTGTTTGAAATCTTTGCTGCTGTGCGCAAACTGACAACGTGATGTCTCACTGAGCATCAGCTCTGGGTCCGAGCTGAAGGCGTTTTTTGTGTAGTACGTCTACACACATCAAAGTCAGTACTGCGATGCAGATGTTAAGCGCGGCGCCAGAGCGCTATGTATCCTCACCTCGTCATGACAGATGCTGCCCCAAGAACCCTCGCGGTCGCACTTTGTTCCTTGATAGAGAATGTATCCGTACTTATTGCGGTCCGAATGAAAGGATAGAGGCTGCCCAACGAAAGCAGGACGGGCTGGAACTTCAAACGACCGCCATGTCTTACCCTGGTCGTCCGTGCGATAATGCTTGGTGCCCTTCGAAAGGATAAAAGCCTAGAGGAATATGAGCGGTCATCAGAATCATAGGATAGTCACGCACAATACTATTGTCAAAAGGATGATGAATAACCATCGCTGCTTCGCCCTCTGGTATGCCCACTGCCTTGTCCCACTTTCTGCCTTCGTCCTGAGACACGAACACGTTTGCGTCGGCAAGATTGTGGTAAACCGCAACCTACGAAGGGTGTACACTTTAGATAGATATAGTAATGGAGTGAATATGCTAACCGGAGAATCGTCAAAGAAAAAGAGCTTGGCCGGCTGGTTGGAAAAGTATGTGAGAGCGCTCTCTGGCTCTTGCTGCGCAAGCACGAGTATGCCTGCCCAGCCGAGCATTGCCCAGAGCAGCGTCGCGGCCCTTTGAAGCGGCGCCATCGCCTGTGCTCGTGGACTCAATGTCTCTGACGATGTCGACGACGTCAAGGTGGTGGAGGTGGAAACGGTCAAGATTAGAGCACAGCAGTTGCGCCACGACGCGCTCTCCCAGATCGTCACGTGCACATCACAGAAAACGTCGGTCTGTCCGCTTCCGCTCGGTGATTAGATCTCATGCTCTTTATCTTATCTAGGTATGCACGACTTGAAGCGATACAACATGATCCTCTTCACGAGTCTCGTCTTTGCCCTACTCTCGAGCAGTATGGTCCCTCTCAGCGTTCTCGCACAACATCAAGTCGTACTCGAACAACCGGCCTCTAAACCTCCGCCAAGTCTCCCGGTTTCAAACGCAACAGAATCGTTCTGGCTGAGGAGTCCTAGAGTTTTTCCCACCCCTGCACACGGCAGCGAAGGACCTCTGACCGTCGATGCAGATATCTGTATTATTGGCTCAGGGATCACTGGCGTATCTGCGGCTTACCATCTAGCCACACACTATGCTAGTAATAGTGCTCGAAAGGATCCTATCAAGACCGTTATCTTGGAGGCCCGAGAATTTTGTCAGCCTCTATTACTTCAGCAGATTGCATTTCGTACTCACAGACCTCGTGCAGGTTCCGGTGCAACTGGTATGCTGCCTAAGGCACTCGCAGCCGATCGCTCAACGCAATCTCAGGACGTAATGGCGGACATCTTACGCCATCTCCTTTCGAGGGGTTTAATTGGCTCGCCAAGCTCTACGGCAAGACTGAAGCTGCTCGCGCTCTAGCTCTCGAGAAGTATACTTCGGACAAGGTGTTCAGCATCCTTAAAAAGGACAACAAGCTTGAGCACGTCGACTTCATCCGAGGTGGTCGCGTGGTGTTGTTCTTTACTATCCAGGAATATGAGGAGGCGCGAGCGGACTACGTCGCTGCCAAGTCTGCCGGCATTGACATGAGCGACGTGCAGTGGTTGACCTCAGAGGAGGCGCAAGACGTAGGCGCTTTGGTCTTCATGCCATGCCTTGCACTAAACCCGCTCCTAGAGATTTAATACGTCGTATCCCGCTGTGGTAATTCCGGGCAATAACCTTTGGCCGCTAAAACTTGTCAGCGTGCTTTACAATCTCGCCGCAAATGCAACAGACAACTTTTCTCTCTCGTTGCACACTCGCACTCCGGTCACCTCCGTCTCTGCTTCGGCCCTTACGTCTGGACGCCCCTGGATCCTCAGTACGCCACGCGGACCGATCTCCTGCTCATATGTCCTTCATGCTACAAATGCGTACGCTGCGCGACTCTTGCCTTGGCTGCACGGTCCCGATGGCATTGTGCCGACGCGCGGGCAGGTTATTGCCGTCCGCGCGAACACGCCAAACGCTCTTGGCCGTACGGGCTTCGTCGGCAACGACGGCTTCGAGTATTGGTTCCCGCGTCAAGCATCCACTACCCACGCCGTCTTCGCAGACCAGGGGAGTGGCGGGCAGAAGGGTCAGCTCATCATCCTTGGCGGCGGGCGCGAGGCAACGAAAGACAGCGGTTACGAGTTTTACGAGACCGACGACTCGGTAGTCAATCCAGAGGTTGGACGTGTGCTGCGTGCGTTCCTGCCGCGAGTTTTCCCCGGAAAATTTGATGAGGGCGTCGAGCCCGAAATGGAGTGGGTAGGTGCATCTTGCAATCGAATTGTCGCGAAACAAGTTTGAGACCTCGTGACGGACAGACCGGTGTGATGGGCTACACGAAATCTCATGAACCTTTTGTGCGTCTCCTTTTTATCTGCGTTGAATATTTTGTTTAGCTTGGGACAGGTTGGACCAGTCGTCGACCGATATGGTACAAGCTCTTTAGGTACGTACAAGGGTCAGTATATCGCTGCGGGCTATACCGGCCACGGCATGCCGCGCGCCTTCGCCTGGTAAGTGTGGTTTCAAGCGAGCAAACCAGTAATCGATACCTAATGACTTTTCTTGTATCAGTGCGGAGGCCGTTGCGGGTATGATTGCGGCCGATATAGTCGGCGAGCGGTGGGTGCCGCCAGAGTGGTTCCCGATGCATTATTTCACGGGCAAGGATATGTAGCCCTGTCTCAATTGATTGTGTACAAAAAATCAGCAAGAATGGTTGTACGTGAAGCTCTTGTACATACATGTTAGATCGATTGAAGAGGGTCGTTCGTGGGTTAAATTTATGTCATGTCTCTCTCTCGGAGTCGTGTCCGAGGTTCTATCACCGATTTTCCAGCGCAGCGGAAACACATCGCTCTGGTCTTTGTTCCATAGGCTACACCCCGCAGGATCATGGGGGTGCTTCGTCCAATCAATGCTGTACAATAAATCGGCAAGGGCAGGGAGCTTTTGTACATGTGAGATAAACGGCAAAGGGCCATTCGTGTATTGTATTTACGTCATGGCTCCTTCTCAAATTTTGAGCTCAAGACTCCATTAATCACTTTTCATGCAGGCAAAACCCCGCCTCTGAAGCTCGCTCCGTATCAGCTACGTGCCAAAAGACCATGAGGGTTGGATGGAAGGTGTGAGCGTGAGGCGGGATTACGGGGCTAATTAGTAAATAATTTTAGCTGACAGAGGTACGAAAATGACCGTGGAAAAAGAAGCTAAAAAGCCTGAACACTTTCTGGCGAAAATATATGATAGGTAAAATTTGAAAATAAGAGTAAAATAAAGTCGCCTTTTTTCAGTCAATCTTGTTGTAAAAAGTTGGTCAGCTCGCAGCAAAAAGAGGTGCAAATACCGCTGGGCTATCCATATATAGAGTAATACACATGGAGAAAGAAATGATGATGATTTCGCCCTAAGGATATTTCGACTCTTCTAATACCTCAAAAGGTGTAAAAGCAGTGTATCTTTTTGTACCACCAAAATGATAACATCCCCATGGGTGAATTGCTCAAGTGTATTTATGAAACAAACTGAATGTGCTTTTGCACCTCTATCCGCGCAAAATAGTATAAAATTAGCCCCGTGCGATGTCACGGTCAGGTTACCATTTCCGGAGCGCGCGAGGAGTTCTTCCGTCAAGTCGGGGTCGATAATGGAGAGGTCAGCCCAGAGAGCGGGCGTGGAAAGCGCTACCCACTGGCAGTGCCAGGCGCGGCAGACGTACGTGAAATAGATCCAGGAATAAGGGCGTGGTAGTTCTGGATCTGTCGGTAGTGCCTGGTGCTTGAGGCTGCGGACGCATGCTTCATGTGCGTCTCGAGCCAATACCCTGAAAATGTCTGCGGATATTTCGGGTAGCAACGACATAATAGGGGAATCCATTGGTTTCGCCCTTCAAAGCTTCAAGCTCAAGCTTCACCATCCGGTAAGTGCGATAGGATGGATGAACACAAAGCAGTCTTGTTTGCCATTGTTAGGATCCAAAGACCCTGCCTTCCTTACTTTACCAAGGACTTCGATTTCGTGTACACAGCTGCACGGATGAGACTGTGGGGCTCAAGATCTGGCGGATTTTGTGATTCGGGGAATCGTGATCTTTGAGCGTTGGTTTTTGTCTGAGATTCGTCCGACCGAAATCATGATTCTGGCCAATGCGAAATACGCCCGATCCGAGATCTCCCCACCACAGTTTGGCGCCCACAGAGCCTCAGGCCTCAGAGCACACGTCCGTTCGAGTTGTATTCCGTACTTAGAAGTCCACATTGAACAGTAGGAGACTACATTAGAACACATGTATGATCTCAGCTCGGGTAGTAAGCTGCAATAGATGCCGGAATAACAGGCTACGGGCCGGAGAAAAACTCATCGTCAAGCTCGCTGGTACCTTCGCCCCTCATAGACAGGGCCGGAACGTTGTCGTCGTCGTCCTCAAGGAAACCACCACCTAGATTACCTTCAGGGAAATCCTTTTCGTCCTGAGCTATCATATCTTCTCGCCACCTATCCATCCAAGATGTCAGCAGTATATCAAAGTTATAACACCACGGGACACATACTTAACCCACCCGTCGCTCTCGTAGTTTGTACCAAGGTTCTTCTGATGATGAGCTCCTTCATC